CTCTGAGCCAGCTCTCCCTCCATCAACACCCCCAGGTGCTGGGGCACATCAGCAGGGGTAGGGGTACCCCAGGGTCTGAAACACATGGGTTTCCTCTGCAAACTGCCCCCCAGCCCCTGGCACGACACCTGCAGCCAGGAGCTGTGTCCAGCAGCCCCAGCCTGTGCCCTCATCACGTTGGGACGACAGCCTAGCCCTGCCACCAGTGCCTGGTCCATCCTCACCACTCGCTGCCTGCAGGGGCTGCGGCTCCAGATATGCCTTTCATCTCCTCAGAGCCTGCTGGATTTAATTCCCTGCATTTTGGTATAAAGTCAGGGTCCCATCCACAAAGCAATTCGTGTCTCCTGGAACAGGCAGTCAGAACATTTCCCATTAAAATGTAAATTCGGCCAAGTTTTCTGGCATCTCTTTTCCTTCCTTAAGGTAAGAAGAATATGAACTTGTATTATTTTTTCCACCAATGATACCTTCCCCTCAGTTTTGTGCTAAAGAAAAAAGCTGCCCAATATACACCCTTGGCAAATTAAATTTGAATTGAGTCTGACAGCACAACAGGGATCCAGATTACAGGAGATGTGCTGGCCTAATTGGAGTCATTGCCAAGGAGTTTATTCGCAGAGCGTTAACCACAGAGGGCACGAGTGCAGCAAACACGGCCAACACAGTCTCTGCAGCGAAAGCTCAGCTCACAGAGCTGCCCAGGGCCAGCAGCCATGCCCACCCAGCTGTGGGACCAGCCTCTCCCAGCACCAGCAGCACCTCGGTGGTGCCTCTCAGGAGCGTGGTGGATGCTGAGTTTAGTTCTGCAGGCACTGACTGCTCTTCCTGCCAGCCCTGGCATCCTGGGTCAGCCTGGAGTGGTGGTCCCTGCGTTGCCAACGATCCCTGTCCCTGCCCTTCCAGCCATCCCCACCCCACCACTCCTCACCCCACAGCTGCAGCCACGCAGCAGAGGGGAATGGATGGATGTCTGGTGACAGGCACAGGATTTCAGCCAAACATGCTCAGAATAACAAAACCAACTGCCCTGCTCATGCTGCAGGTTTTTTAAGATGATGTTTCATGATTAAAACCCCAAGTCCCTGTGGACTCACCACTTCTTTTGCCTTCAGACACCTGGAGGCAGGGAAGTGCTCTCTGCATGCCTCAGGAAGCCTGTCAAGAGTCTGAAGGGTTTAGAAGATACAACCAAGGAGAAACCCCTGAAAATTCTCCTGTGATGGTCAGTCACAGGGAGACCAGGGGGGCCTGGCTGCCATGCCAGGGCTCCCAGCCCAGAGCCACTGCTGGACACAGCTCACCACAGTCCTGCAGTTTGGCCATGGAATTAATATAGGAGCACAGGGCATTAATTACTGTCTCCAGCTGCATTTCTAGTGGGGATATTTTCATGTGCAATGGTTAGAATTACATCATTGCAATGAAAAGTCTCCCATTTTCCTGACTGATTTGAGATTAACTAAATTTGTTTCTCACAGGGAACAGGTCACAGCTCAGCCCACAACAACCTCTGCAAGCTCTTGCCTTGGGCAGCACCTCCCACAGGCTTAGGAGTGACCAGTGCCCCCAGAATCTCACCCAAACAGTCTGTGGCTGGTGGTAATTTGCATCACAGAGTAATGAAGGACTTGCATCTGACAGTGCTGCAGCCAGGCCATCACAGCCCCTGAGGACAGAGCTGGTGGGGAGCATCACCTCAGGCCCCGGGGAGAGGGTTCATCAGAAAAAATTAATAGCTCCAGTGCAAGGGGGATCTGACCCGGTGCTTTCCCTGTCCTGGGGACTGGAGTGCTCCCCAGGGCCACATGTGGCTTCCCACAGGGAGATCCTGGAGCCCAGCACGAGGCTTGGGCTGCAGCTGAGTGCTCTGTCCTGCAGCAGCAAGTGATCCAGCAGGCTCAGACAGCATTAGTTATGCAGAGAATAATTTGCTAGTGAAATTAAGAAAACCAAAGAGGATATAATTTAATCAAAATATAATTAAATGAATAGTTAATTTAACAATTCCACAGTGAAAAGCCCTTGACCTCTGGAGCTCTGCTCCCTGCACGCAGGGGCTGCTCATGGCTCTGGCAGCAGTGACACCCCATGGCACCTCTGTCCCCTGGCACACCCACACCTCGGCCTGCACTGCCCAGAGCACCAAGGCCAGGGAGGGTAAACCACAACCTTTCTGAAAAGAGGTGTGTGGTCACAGACCATGTTACCGTTAACCCTCTGAAAAATTCCAGTCCCGATAAATATTGTTTTAAGGAACTGGAAAATAGGAGGAAGAAAAGGACCAGCCAGGCAGAATTTCCTGCAGAAAAGGGAGCTGAGAGCAAACCTGACAAATGTGCCTGGAGTGAGCTGGGAGAGGGGCTGCTGTCTGGGGAAGCAGACTCTCCAGATGGCCTCAAGGTCCTTTCTGTCTCCATCATCTACGCTTCTACAGACTAATTCCTTAAATCAGCATCCTGTGGAAATTTGCCAGGCATCCTGCCAACTCTGGAGCTGGAAGAAGGGCTGGAGGACAGTGTTAGTGGATCTGCATGCACAGCATGCAGGAGGAAAGGGGATTTTTGCAATAGGCCCCTACAATCTCTAGGAATATACTCAAAGGAGCATTTCACAGCAGCTTCTTCATGGCAGCAAAGCCCTGGCTGGAGGTGCAGGAGGCAGCACCACCCTGGCCAAGAGCTGTCTGTCCCACGTGTGCCCCTTTCCACAGGGTTTCACAGCCCTCTCCTGCCACAGACATACTCACCCCCGCAGCAAAACCGAGAACTGCAGCTCAGCACCCCCTCGGGGTAGAGACCTGGCCCAGACAGACAATATCATCTCTCCTGGCTGTAACCACAGTGAGTGAAAACCCTCGCTGAGCTCCCAGCATCTGGCAGGGCAGGCTGGGCTCCATCTGGAAGCATCTCCCCACACACTGGACTATCTCCTAGTAAAGCCATTACAAGAAAATAAATCAGGAGGAGATTAACATAAATATTGTTTGAAAGATTTAATCAGCTACAAATTGCAATGTTGTGTTTCCAGCTTAGTTAGCCCAAGTCTGGTTTCCATTGTGTTACGAGGGCAGTGGCAGCAGCACCACAGATCTGTCTGCGGTGATGCAGGAAACTCTCTCCCTGGCTGGGGCCCTAGGATGCCACAGCAAGATCCCAAACAGCTCCAAAAGGGCTGGAGAAGGTCAGACACTGAGCAGCTTTACCCCCGAGACCACTCCTGGCCCAGGCTGCCTGGGCTGGCATTGCTCCTTTGAACAACCTCTCCATGAGTTTGAACGGGTCCTGCTAATGAGGGTCTAAAAGATGCCTTTTCACTTGGAGGGCAAGTGCTAATTAAAATGCAAACCATGTATGTCCTGCTCTGAGTGCTCAGGCCAATGTGATTTCCACAAGGGCTGCAAACACAAGTCACCCTGATCTGTGGTTTGGTTTAGGAAGGTGTTTATAGTTCCACCCACAAGCTCTCCAAAGGCACTGCCCCTTTCCAGCAGCAGCTGTGTCTGATCCACACGTCCTGACCGTGTTTTAACCTGTCTCAGGCAGCTCTGTGTCCCAGCACTCACCTGCAGCACACAGCTCCTGCACTGCAGTCACTTGGTGTAGCAGCAGAGTCCTGGGCTGGAAGTACCAAGAACACCTGGATGAGCAGCAAATCCTGGGTTTGTCCATGCTAGTGTGTTCCAGAGATGCTGACACACAGTCTGGTCACTTCAGCTGGTGCTGAGTGTGTCATACTGACAGCACAGAGCTCTGCAGACAGGCAGAACCCAGAGGAAGGAGGTAATTCATAGTGCTGGCAGCTCCTGCGGGGCACGAGGGCACCCTTACACCCATGGCTGGTGGCACAAATAAAGCTGTCACTGGCAGGGACACTGAACACCATCAGCGGGGAATGAGCCATGAGCAGAGACACCAGCCGAGATGTCAATGTGTTTCCCCAGCTTTCTGCCCACCAAGGCTGCTCGCAAAGGCCACAACAGGTTGTGGCAGAGATGCAGCTTTGGGCACTCAAGAGCAGACCCTAGAGCCAGCCCCATTCAGGTGAGGCTGCTCTGTCTCAAGGCTGTGCCTTACCTGGGGGACCAGCACCCCCACCTGGCTGTGGGAAAAGAGCCTGTGAGGGCACCAGCTCCATCCACACGCTCGGCTGTCCCCGAGGGGAGGAGCAGGACCTGCTGCAGCAGAGACCCTCAGCCAGGGCAGCAGATCCTGGAGACCCCTGAGCTGCACAGCTCAGGCAGTGTCTGTGGCTCCGCCCGGGCCTGTGCCAGCATACGGGGCAGGGGCACAGGATCCGCTCGTCTGAGTGGAGAAATACATCACTGGGAAGAGAGGAAACGTTTGGAAGGGGACGGCAGCTGTGAGAGTGATGGATGAGGCCTGGAGGACCCGACAGGGACTGGGGAACAGCTGATGAGCTGAGAAGGAGGCAGGGGGAGCTCCCCACGCAAATCCAGCAGGAGACAGCATGGAAAGTGCTCTCTGAGGTGCGAGTCCCAAACAGCCTTTACACACCACAGACACGAAGGCAGCAGCTCTGGCTCTGCTCGGTGCTGATGTGAACTGGGGGCTGTGGAGAGCTGCCCACCCATACCCACTGCCCACCAGGGCCCTGGGAAGGACCCCCAGTGCCACCCTCCTTCCCCTCAGTTCCCAGCAGTGCTGTGGGGACAGGCAGGAGGTCCAGTGCAGGCAAAGCGAAGCGACCCTTCTGATCTCCCTCAGCCCTCCATGCCCCAGGACACCTGATGGGAATGGTGAGGTAAGAGCAGAGGTGCAGAGAAGGGAAAGCACCCAGAGACCCCTCACACACACAGGAACTCACCCAGCCTGGTGCTTCAGGGGCTTTACAGCAGCACAAAGAGGTCAAAAAGGTTTGTGAATCTTTTGTTTATTAACCTTGACATAACCCATCGACCTCATTAAACAAGGCCATGAACACACTGCTGAGTGCACAGGCACACAGTGCCCAGCTCCGACTGCTCCCAGCCCCAGGGGTTAGGGAGGTTCTGGTTCCAAACCATACTTCTGCCTCAGGATTTCCACTGTGGGTGTCAGTGCACTGTGGGGAGGAACAGAGCTGTCAGAACAAGAGGTCGTCTGGTCAGAACAAAAGGGTCAGAACAAAAGAGGACTAAGCTGCACTTTCTGGGGAAAGGCAATCAGTGAGACAGGACTGCACTGAGCCCAGAGGGAACACAAGCTCCAGAAACTGCAGAGCTCCACAGAGCAGCCATAAGAAAGGCAATTCAGGAGCTCTTCCTGAGGGTGCTGGTAATCAAGTTAAACAGCATTAACCTGAAGGTGGAACTGCTGTGGGAAAGCAAGCAAAGCATGACCCTCACCAAGGCAGGCACAAAGCTGTGCTCTGCACTGCTTACCAGCCAGGGCGGATAATGGAGAACTTCCCTGACACAGACAAGTCAACCACAGTCGACCCCAGGCGACACTCTGGGCTCTGGGTGTCCCCTGTGGGGCCTCCATCAATGATCAGGGACAACTGAGGCCACAGGTCCTGAAATTCCTGCAGGAGAGCTGAGGCTTAGTCCTGATGTGGTTTGTGAGTCTCAGTTACAGAAAAGAAGATACAGCAACAAACAAACCACTTACAACCCCTGGCTCCCTGCTGAAGCTGAGCTCCAGCTGTGGGAGCCTGAGGCTGTCAGACTGTCCCAGTGCCAGAGGAGCCTCACCGACACAGCCAGGGTGCTGCCCTGGGAGCTGAGGTTGCAGGGCCAGGGGCCCAGGGCAGGCTCGAGCCACGTCCCGCAGGAAGGGATGGTCTGGGACACGAACACCAACCAGCTGCAGGGAGAGAGGAGGGTCACACAGTGAGGGACAGACACCTCAGCAGCAGCACAGACACAGCACTTGCCCCAGAACCCAGACCTGCAGCCAATTCCTACCGGCGTGAAGGGATTCAGGTCCTTGTTGAGCTCGTCCGAGCGCTGCAGGACCAGAGTCACTGGACCCGGCAGCAGGTCCCGCAGCAGCTCATCCGGCACGTTCACGTGGCAGTACCTGCGCGGCCAGAGGCACAGGGATCAGGGCACGGAGTC